TTACTAATAAAATTGCAGTGGTTTTGGTATCTACTTTATAGTGTGTGTGTGTGTACCTATTAGTTAAACACTCATAAATAAATATGAGTGCTTGCCCAATATATTTGTCTTTTGTCAGTAAGAAATTTCTTTTTTTTATTTTTTTATTGAAAAAAAATTTCCGCCTTCTCCCAGCCTCCCATTTCCCTCCCCCTCCTCTCACTCCTCTCCCCCTCCCCCCCACTCCTCTCTCCCTCTCCCTCTCCAGTCTGAAGAGCAGTCAGGGTTCCCTGCCCTGTGGAAAGTCCAAAGTCCTCCCCCGTCCATCCTGTTCTAGGAAGGTGAACATCCAAACTGGCTAGGCTCCCACAAAGCCAGAACATGAAGTAGGATCAAAACCCAGTGCCATTGTCCTTGACTTCTCAGCAGCCCTCATTGTCCGCCATATTCAGAGAGTCGGGTTTTATCCCATGCTTTTTCAGTCACAGTCCAGCTGGGCTTGGTGACCTCCCAATAGATCAGCCCCACTGTCTCCGTGGGAGTAAGAAATTTCTTATGACCATAGAATCTTTGGACATGCCTTTCTTGGAACCCCAGGTTGACATAATGCACATTATTATTTTTCTATGCTGAGGGCAGTTTGGGAACTTTAATCAGTGTATAACGGTCAAACGCAGCTCAGAGAAGAAGATGGTGGAAAGGGAGTTCCCAATGTTTAGTGTTAATGCTGAGCTTGATAGTTCAAGCCGATCGCAGGCAGAGTGGTAGCCCTCCTAACCCTCAGAAGCCGTGAAAATGGGATTGAACATGGCAGAAGGGATTTTGGGAATATAATTCTCAGCAAGATCTTGAGATGGACAATGACTTTGGGTTATCAAGCTGGACCCAAACTCATCGCTGGAATCTTTAAAAATAGAAAAGGAAGAGGATGAAAGAAGCAGGGTTTGGGAGATGCTACCTGAGGACTCCACAGCTAGGGAATTCTAGAAAAGAAACATTCTGTCTTTCCCTGCCTGGAAAGGAGTGGGTCCTGTTAGTACCTTGACTTTAACCTTGAGTCTTGTTTAGGGTTTCTGGCCTGTGAAACATAGCAACTCTTTGAATCTGGCCTACATAACTAGAAAACAGTAATTTATTATAGCGACAATAGGGACTAGATACACCAAGGCAGCAATACTTCATAGGAATGTGAAACTTAAAAGTCCACTTGGTGCATGTTTTGTGCTACTTTTTTTTAAAGAAACATGTGAGTATATATCCTAGAGTAGTAATTGCAGAAACCAGGAAAGGGAAAAAGGAACCATTGCTGATGAGGTGGGGGTGGGAATAGAAAGAGAAATAGGGTACAAGTGATTGGGGAAATGAGACAAAGAGGATTCTAATTACAGAGGGGAGATAAGTATAAAAGGAGGGGGGAAAACAGTAAAGGTATCTGGTTTGAGGCCAGCCTGGTCTACAGAGCAAGTGTCAGGACAGGCTCCAAAGCTACTGAGAAACCCTGTCTTGAAAAAAAAAAAGCCAAAAAGTACTAAGGAATACTATTATGTGTATAAATATATACATATAGTTTAATTGATTTTTTCCCTCTGTTCTGACACTTTCCCTCCAAGAGCCAAAGATCCCCTAAAAATACTTTAATACCAGGCACAAGAAGCTCTCTTTTGAGTGGCTGGTCAGGGCTGTCAGAGTTGTCCCAAACACCTACCCTATTGCTCTTGCCCTTGGTTGCCCCCAAGAGGTGGAAGTTAAGTCCCATCTACTTCAGACATAGGGCATATGGGTTCCTAAGCTGGCCTGTGAAACATAGCAACTCTTTGAATCTGGCCTACATAACTAGAAAACAGTAATTTATTATAGCGACAATAGGGACTAGATACACCAAGGCAGCAATACCTTCTCTTCTCTAAGGACCAACTTTCATGGTACCAGAAGGTGCTGTGTCAGCTTCCAAAGGAGGAAAGCAACCATCAGTTCTGCCTAGCTATGATGCCTATGAGCCACAAAAACAATCAGCATGGCCCCGTAACTGTAAGAGTGAAGCCATGGCTGCATACCTTGGTGGTTCCTAACCACATTCTAAACATTTGTCCTTACACCCATAGATAAGGGTAGTCCTCACCCCTCATCAAGACTTCTCTTTGCAACAAGTGGAGACTAGTATAGAAAATCACAACACATCAGAGCTGTGGATCCCAGTCCCAAGAGATGGCATCTATGAAACCCTCCCCCACCTAAGACTTAGTGAGCATCATAGAAGAGGGGATAGGAAGATTCTAAGAGCCAGAGAAGCAGGGAGTTTGCTGTGAGAATGTGTCTCCTACTGATATCAGAAACTACAGCTCTGCAATCTCACCAACACGACTGTCTAAACGTGAGCTGAACCAAGGCAGCAACGATAGACATGGTAACGTGGATGGGGTAAAGCAACTAAGGAATTCTGGGAGTGGGAGAAAGATTTTTCCAGGGAAGAGCACACCAATTGATTTATAATATTAAATGTTCAGTCCTGATGGCATACATATGAGTAACATTATTCATACTGAGCAAATTATATTTAGGAATGTTTATGCATGAACATACATGTAGCCATGTTAACGACAATAAAAAAGAGGGCATGGGTGTGAAAGAGCCAGGAGGGTGTTGGGGCCATGTCTGGGTCAGTAGTCCTGCTGCACCTGGGGTCTATGTTGATGTCCATGGCCTGTGTTACCACACGGGCCATAGGAACCCTGCCCGTTGAAATCTAAGAGCTGTCCTGAGCCAGGCTTGACCTTCACTTGCCCTGGGAGAACTGGTCCAGCCCTTTCCTGGACACTGCAGCAGGAGAGCTGTCCCTGCCCCTTGTGGGAGAACTGCTCACTCCCCTGCACCCCGCCCTCACACTCAGTAGAGAAGGCCCCACTGCTTACCATGGGTATGAGAGAGCTGGCCTGTATGACATGGGCCTAGGAGAGCTGGCTCTGCCCCTTGCCTGAGGAGGGGTGGGCAATCCTAGCTCAGCTACCACCCAGACCCACATTCCAGGCCTTGGGTGGTCCGTGCTTTGGGTGGTCCGGACCTTGGGTGAATGGCTCCACCCTAACAACTAGCCCATTTATGATATGCAATAGTGCATGCAGGGAATGGTCCTATGGAATTGTATCAATAGGATCCTCATGACCCAAAAAGAGGATCTCAGAAAGGAGTTTTGGTGAGGGTCCAATGATAATGGTGTGCTAGAGAATGGGCTCTCACTACACATCAAACCTTCTGCCATTTTGATTTTTGACAACCCAGTGCCCAAACCTGTGAGAAAATAGAAATAGATTTCTGCTTTCATTTTTTTTTTAATTTTTAAAATTTCTCTCTCTCTCTCTCTCTCTCTCTCTCTCTCTCTCTCTCTCTCCCCAAATGGCTACAGAGGCCAGAAGAGGGCGCCTGATCCCTCAGAATTTAGAGTCTGTTGGGAGCTACCCAGTGTGGATGCTAACAACCAAACTCAGGTCCACTGTAAGAGCAGCATTCATTCTTGACTGCTGAGTCATTTCCTCAAACCCCAAATTTCTCTTCTTTATAATGTTAACAAACACACAAACCATAAGTCCTAATGGGATTTCATGTAATGTTGGTTTTATGTATGTGCATATGTGCACACACATGTCCCTAGGTACACACGCTGTGATGTTTAAGTCAGGTCTGGTATGCCTACAGTGAGCTAACTGTAGATAATAACCCACTTTACATTCCCAAAAGCTAGATGGAGTTTTACAGTTCACATCATAAAATGATAAATGTTTGCAGAGATATGTTCAGACTGATTTAAAAAAAAAAAACCATTTATGTATGTGGGTGCCTGAGGAGGCCAGAGGAGGGCGGTGGATTCCTATGGAATTCTGAGTTATAGGCAGTTGAGAACCAGCTACCGTGGGTGCTGGGAAGCGAACTGAGGTTTTCTACAAGTGCAGAAAGTGCTCTTAACTGCTGAGCTGTATCTTCAACCTGTCGAGTAATACCCCTCCTCCCAAATACGTATTTGCACCATGTGCATGCCTGGTGCCAGAGGTGGCTAGAAGAGGGTGTTGGATCTCTGGAACTAGAGTTACAGTTGTGAGCTGCTCCGTGGAACTGAACCCAGGTTTTCCGCAAGAGCAACAAGTATTCTTAGTTATGTCTCCAACCCCAGCTTGAATAGTCAAGTAATCTTTGCCTATGTCCAGCTTGTTTGCAACGAGTGCTTCCGTCCTTCAGCCCCTTATCAGGAATGCTCAAGATGAGGCTTTTATCGTTCCTGGTTTGTGACGCAGTTCGTTGCTCTTACTCACCTAACCTCCACAATGGCCCTGAAAGTGAACTTCGCCGTGAGTTGTGGAAACTGTTATCCGCCCCCCCCCCGCCCCCCCGCCATCCCCCCCCGCCCAAAATAATTTATCCAAGGTCTCTTATCAACAGAGGACTTGGGTTTGAATGTCTGACCTCAAATACTCTTTCACAATTTACCAGTTATTAGTCATTAGTCATCAAAAAAAAGTTTTAAGCTTTTAAGTTAAAAGTTAGCCGGGCGGTGGTGGCGCATGCCTTTAATCCCAGCACTCGGGAGGCAGAGGCAGGCGGATCTCTGTGAGTTCGAGACCAGCCTGGTCTACAAGAGCTAGTTCCAGGACAGGCTCCAAAACCACAGAGAAACCCTGTCTCAAAAAAAAAAAAAAAAAAAAAAAGTTAACTTGCTAAGTTTCAGGGTTTTATACACACAGTGTGTCAAGTTTGTAAAAACTCTCCCCTGTCCTGGGTAGGAAAAACCTAGATCCCTTTTGCTCAAACTTGAACTCTAAAGGCGGTGCAAACTGCGATATTTGGCTTTGTTTAGAGGGAGTGGGACGAAGACGGTTCAGTTCACCAGGTGGCTTTTTGGACAGTCTTTGAAGAATAATTGCTCCCGAGCGCGGAGCCCACTGCAGAAGGTCAAGGTGAACTCACTCCTGCCCTGCTCACTGGAGCCGTGCTCGGCCCCGCCCCGCGGAGGCGTGGCATCGGCGGGGCGGGGCGCGGCCGTGGGTTATAGGACACGCAGGGCGCTCGCGGGGCAGTAGTCCGCTCGTCACCGGACTCGAGGGACCCGCGTGACCCTCAGGACTGCGCAGGACATCACAGGACCCGGAACCTTCCGACCGGGGAATGGCGGCCGCTCCGGCCGCCCGACTCCTGCGCGCCGCCTGCGCCTCCGTCGCTTTCCGTGGCCTGGACCGCGGCTGGCTGCTGGCCTGTGCGGTCCGCGCGGGAACTGCCGTCCCCCGGTGGACCCTGAGCCCCGGCGTGCACGCAGAGGCCGGGCGGGGACGGCCGCTGAGCTTGTCTGCGCGCGCGTGGAGCAGGTGAGGCGCGGCGGCGACGGCTGGGTCCCGGCGTCCCTCGGCCTGCGTTTCCGCCCGGGCACTCTTCCGCCTCCTGACGCCAGCGTTCCGGGGCCTGGCTTGGCGGTGCGGGGCACTGGCCCCGGGGCTTCCTCGGTGGGGTGTCCTTGTCGCCCTTAGCGTCGTGGTTGCTCCTCTGGCAAGACTAGCACACGCTGGCCTTTGTGCTGCCTTCCGGCTAGGGAAGGGTTAGGCTTGCCTAGGGTAGAGTTTAAACCCGCACAGACTTTAGTCCCTGTAGACCTAGGATAACAGTGTTGCCCCTACAGAATGATTTAAGGGATAAATGACTCCGTACAGGTGACGTTTGGTCTTGCGCCTGGTTGAAAATGAGGGCTCAGTAGGTAGGTGCTTCTTAGCAACAGTTCTTGGGGGTCATAGTGTAGAGAATTCTGTGGGAAATGTTCAGAGAGTTGAGAGCTCCCCATAGGTGGAAGGTTTGTATTGGGCATATTTGTTTTTAAAGGCACTGCCCCCTTAGGTTGACTAAAGATAAAATTGACTTAAAGTTTCTGAGTGTGGTGACATGTTGACAATTACATAATGTCCGTGTCTATGAAAAACAGCTGTTGCTTCAAAGGAAAGATGAGAGTTTTCTTCAAAGCTAAACATGAGTGCCCATTCCTGGAAACAGATTAGAGTTTCCATGAATTGTATGTCCCTCTGTGGAAGAACTCGCTCAACTTTGTAGTCACAGACCCAAAGAAAGTCAAAAGTCAGTGTATTTGCCAAATGTAATGAGGGGACAGCAAATGGATTACAGGGTTTTGAACCTAGCTTACATCTTTAGTGTTAGGATTGGAAGCCGATGGTCCATTAGGATAATACATTCCAAGACTTATTTGCCTGGTAACCATAAAGCTCAGAAACAGTGTCTGGTGATACATGACCATAAGGGTGTTAACAATAACCCAAGATAATTTTGGCTGTTTGTAGATATGCGGCAATCTGTGTCTTCACAGCTACGGATGTCTGTATCTGGTGTATCAGTCTACGGCATATTCAACACAGATACGGCTTCTTCAGAGAATTTCTGATCATAGAAATCCCTGCCAGTCGTTTGACTCCAGAATAGAGTATAGCAGGAAATGAGAATTTCCCCCCTCCCCCATGTGTTTTGTGTGGAGAGGGAAATCGTGGGGACCATTCAGTCCTATTTCCCCTGGTCTCTCTGACTGTTCACCTGTGGATGCCTTAATTTCTGTGGCAGATGCTTTCTGGATTTAAGTTGTGACATACTGAACATAATCAGTATAACTAGTATTTAAGGGAATACATATGCTTTTGCAAATTGGTTCCTACGATTTTGTCATTAGGTTTTGGATATTGTGATTCTTGACAGAGACATTGGAGCTTCAAGTAGATTTTCCAACTCGTATTATGCCAGACTCTTGCTGTTAACACAGCAGCTCCCAGCCATTTGTAGTTATTGAACATTAAGAAGATTGAAGGTAAATAATATTCATGGTTCTGTTTTGCAGTTATGCTAGCCATGTTTTAAGTATTTAAGTGTGTGGTGAGCTTCTCTACTGTGTTTGGCATTGCCAGTATAGGACCCTCCTGCTTAAGTTCAAAGTCGTATTGGACAAAGTAATTCTAGAAGCTGAGTTTCAAGTTCCACATCTATATAAACTCTCAATAAATGAATGTTGAAAAGCTTTTATTCCCAAACACCCTGACATAATACTTGATGTTTCTCAAGCGACTTGATTACAAAGGGCTTTCACACACATGATTTCACTGTACTTTTAAGACAGTCCTGTGAAGTAGGTAGGTAGGTGAGTGGGCATAAAGTTATCATATTAACTAGCTGGCAAAACATGGCCTAGACCTTGAATAGGTTCTATGCCTCATGGCAGATGACAGTCTTTGTCCTTGAGATTCTGTGGCTCTAACCAGGGCCCTCTTTGGTGTCAGGCGTGTGATCTGCTGCAGTACTGTAGCTGGTAGCTCTTTAGTTCATACTTTTGTGAGTCATTTCAGAGAGCAAAGGTGATGAGGGGAGGGCAGAGCCATAGACTGGCCTTTCCCTCTGTTAGCACCCCAGGCGATGTAGTGAAAGGGTAAGAACAGCTATATGTTCCTCCAGTGGTTCTCAACCTGGGGGTATCGACTCATTGTGGGGTTCTAGTGACCCTTTCACAGGGGTCACCCAAGACCATCAGAAAACACAGATACTTACATTACAATTAATAACAGTACAGTATAACAGTTATGAAGTAGCAATGAAATAATTTTATGGATGGAGGTCACCACAACACGAGGAGCTGGATTAAAGGGTCGCAGGTTAGGAAGATTGAGAACCACTGCTCTACTTCATTAGCCTGGGAGACCTACAGGACCACAGCCTTGTTTTTTAGTGTGCCTGCTGGGGTTGAGCAAAGCAAGTGGCTGTTTAATTGGGGATGAAGAATTTAGAAGAATTACATTTATTCTGCTACTTGAAATCTTACCTAGTGTGTCATTGACCAATCAGTTACTGAGTGTGAACAGACAGAAGTGTGGGCAAGTACATGTGTATAAAGTATTTCCATAAACTTCCTCTATTTTAACCATTCATTAAATTAAAAACAGTTTAATACTGGGCTAAGGATGTAGCTCAGTTAGTAGAGTGCTTGTGTAGTATGTGAAGCCGTTTGACCCCTAGCACCACACATAAAGTGTGCGGGGTGATTTTATATATATATATATATATATGTATGTATGTATGTATGTTATCCCAGCACTCGGGAGGTGGAGCAGAAGGATCAGAAGTTTAAGGCTGTCCTTTGCTACACGGAGTATAGGAAGTTAGCCCAAGATAAGTAAGGGTCTGTAGAAAAAAAAGTACTTTAATGCTTTTATGGGTGGAGTCACTGCTCTAGTTTACTTGTATATAGGAGTGATTTCCATGGTCACTGCTTTAGGAGTAAGACCAGAAGCCATGGCTTTTGCTTCTCCACTCTTTCACTTGAATTACCTTTTCCCTCTCATTTCTTCTTCCTTCTTTGTCTTAGCAAATCAATTACTTATCTTAGCATTTGTTAACAAGGGATGAATACCTTTAGTACAGTGGTTCTCAGCCTTGCTAACACTGCAAGGCTTTAATACAGTTCCTCACGTTGTGGTGGCTCCCAACTGTAAAAGTACTTTGTTGCTACTTCAAAACTAAGTTTGCTACTGTTATGGATCGTAATGAAATATCTGATATGCAGGATATCTGATAGGTGACCCCTGTGAAAGAGTCACTTGACCCCCACAGGGGTTGAGACCCACAGGTTGAGAACCACTGTTTTAGCACATAGTAGCAGTCCAGGTTCCTAGCAGTAGAAAGAAGTTTGGGGGCTTTAAATAAAAGTTACTGATCCATGTGTGAGTTCTACCATGGCTTAGGCATTTTATACATTGTCAAAACTGTAAGATAAATGCCTTGACAAAAGACTGATGTTAAAGTAATTTGAAATTCCTTTGTTGTAAGTTTAGCTGTGTGTTCTAGAACAACAATCCTAAAGCCCCCAGAGTGGAGTAATTCCATAAACATCCCCATTTACTATAGCTTAGCTTCCAGGCATTTGTCTGTGTCATTCTCTCCGATTCATATTGCCATATGGCTTGCCGACTGTCCCATCTGGTTCTTCAAGTATTAGAAGCCAAACAAGTTCTAAATGTGAGCTCATTTTCAGCTTTCACAAAGCTCCTTCTCTTAATCCTAGTAACCCCAATTTAAACCCAGTTGCCCATGCTGAAAATGTCAACATCCCTTTGCCGTGTGTGTGTGTGTGTGTGTGTGTGTGTGCGTATGTGTATGGTGTGTGGTGTGCACACACACATCCTAATAATATATAAATGAATTCCTAAACTTTCCATTTTACTACAGAGTTCCACTGGCTCAAGTCATTGCCTCCTACGTCCTTTTTAAATTTGTGTTTTAGAGAATCTTCTAGCTGTGAGGGCTGTTGTTATTCTCTGCTTTTTTACCTTGAGAAGAACATAGCTTTTAAATAGTTTAGTATTACAGTTCTTCAGTGCAAGGATCCTTGTTTTACAGAGCCCAGGTTGGGACTCAGGTACAAAGAGCATTGCCCTGACTCTGCTCTGAAGCCATGAAAAACAAACATACAGTTTTTTTTTTTCCTGTCTTTGACAGTCCTGAGCCTGACACATGCTAGGAGTGCCAGGCGAGTAAAAGTACTTGTTTTTAAAGGCCTCTCTCACCCCCAATTAAAAGAAGTTTGGGAGCGTAGACTTTTTTTTTTTTTTTGAAGGCACACGCAGAAATTTTTATCTTTTTTTCATTTAAGAAATATTAGTGTATATTCATTGTACAAGCTGATGAAAATTTTCACTGATATTTTAAGGTTGGACCTTTTTAATCAGGATCCTTTTATCCACTGCCATATCAACATTATCCACTGGGAGGCGGTTCATCCGACTTACTTGTGAATTTTGATTGTGGTTAAAAATTACAACTAATTAAGTGCTGGGAATGGAAGAGACATCTCCAGGTGCGAGTATGATGATTTTCCCCACATTTTAATGATGTTTGGTAAAAAGGAGAACAGTTTAGGTTTACTTGATGATATATAACAGAGTAACACACATGCAGTGGTGTATGGCTCCCCAGGAGTCTGTTAGTGTTGAATGCACCGTGTGGACGAAAATGAAATGTTCAAAGACTCACAAAAGTGTAAAACAGCTGCCCCTGGGGTCAGAGTCTCATGACCAGACACGTGCACTGTAGTGACACGGGTGGCTAGCAGAATGGTTTGTTTCTTATGAAGCTGACCACAAACAACCTTGAACTTGTCTCTCAGGGCCATGGTCACAGAGATACTGTTCTTCTAAGAGCTTGTGAAAGCAAAATAGGTTTTATGAACTAAGGGTGTAGCTCAGTGGTCAGATATGTGCTTAGCATGTGTAAGGGTCTGGATTCAATCCCTGGCGTGGAAATCAAACCAGAATCACTGTTGCCTCCACCACAAAACCCAGGAGACTTGCTGCCTGGTTATGATTGCTGAGTGTTTGTACAGATCTGTGACGGGTGGGGAGACAAAAGTTCACACCCACGGGGCTGCTGGGGCAGGACATAGTTTTCATTTTCTTTAAGAGATCAATCCTGCCCTCTGTAGCGGGGGTAGAGGATAAGTCCTCAGTCTGTACTGTCTTCTTCCTACACGTGTGCCTATTCATTTGACCTTGCAGTTAAGTTATGATTTAAATTTTTTTATTTGTTACTCTTGTGTGAGTTATGTTGATAATGTGTTTGTGGGCACCCATGGCACTTTTGTAGAGGTCAAATAACCACATTTTGGAATGAGTTCCAGGGACCCACCTCAGGTGGTCAGGCTTTCATGGCAAGAGCCTCTATGTGATAAATTATCTCCTTGGCCTTTAAATTATATTTTGAAATTACTAAAAATATTGAAATACTGCTTCCTTTCTCAGCTCAGAAGATAAGATAACAGTCCACTTCAAGAACCGTGATGGTGAAACACTAACAGCCACGGGGAAAGTCGGTGACTCTCTGCTAGATGTTGTGGTTGAAAATAATCTAGACATTGATGGCTTTGGTAAGTTACCTTGCAAGTTTCTGAGTAAATTACAGGTTTTTTTTTTTGTTCGTTTGTTTTAACTTTTAAATTGTAACATTCTAATTAAATATTATAATTTAGGACATGTTATTTTATTTTGTTTATAAAGATTATTAGAGTAGGGGCTGGAGAGATGGTTCAGTGGTTAAAACCACATACTGCTCTTCCAGAGGATCTGAATTCTGTTCCCAGCACCCAGATTGGTTGGCTCATGATTGCCTGTAATTCTGGATGCAGGGGATCCCACACTATTTTCTGTCTTCTCCGACAGCTGTACACATATGGCACACACTCAGGCAGAAACATGCTCACATAAACATTTAAAAACCCAAGATGGATAATAAAGGACACTTGTTTACTTTTAGACAATAATTCAAATAGCCATGTGACTCAGAAATCGATTGTGGTCTCGTGCCCACTGTTCACCTGCGCTGCAAGCCAGAGAGATGAGAGGTAGAAGGTACAGGACAGAAGTAGTGAATACCATAGCACAGAGAAATTTGGAATAACTTTGATTTAATTCTAAATGTCATTTTACTTTCTCAGGAGAAACATTATGTAGAAAGTTTTCATTTCTTCTGATCAAATGTACAAACCTGGTGTTTCCACACCTCCATATTGTACTTCAGGGAGGCTCTGGCTGTGTCTAAATTGTTCTTTTCTGTGGGTTCTTGGCTCATTGCCATCTTTATTACCTGAGAAATCAGATTTTGGGGCTCAGGAAGTCTAGCCAGCAATGTTTATTTACTACGGGTGTGTGTGTGTGTGTGTGTGTGTGTGTGTGTGTGTGTGTGCAATGCATGTGTGCATATATTTATGTGCAGGCTTGATTATGCCATGTGTGGCCATCAGAGGACAGCTTTATGGAGTTGGCTGTTTCCTTCCATGGGGTACTCAGATTTGATGGCAAGCTCCTTTACCGATCTGCCTTGCCAAACTAGCAGTGTGAGTTGTCACAAGCTGTTCCCGTGATTTGGATGGTGCATATTAGGTTTGAAAAGCACTAGTCTTTCCAGTTGTAATTTCTTTTTGTTCAATACATTTTTTACAACCTTGGTATATAGTTTATAATTATACAAATCAGATGTTGACTGATAATAAATCATAAGTTTATTTTAAACCAAATAGATGTTTGTTTATTTTTATATAAAGAACTAAATCTTTTTATTTTTTATTGGGGGGGTTGTATTTTGAGACAGGGTTTCACTGTGTAGCCCTGACTGTCCTGGAACTTACTATGGAGACCAAGTTGACCTTGATCTCACAGACAACTGCCTGTCAAGTACTGGGATTGAAGACATGCAGCACCACGCCTGGCTTTAAAGAACTAAATATTTGATTCTGTAGGACATAAGCACATCTTCAGTATTTTTCAGAGTGGTCCAGTGTTTTGAGTTTGGTTGTCAGTGCTAAGAATTGTGCTTCTTATATATAGCCCAAAATGGCAGACGTATGCTTAGGGCCATTTCAAAAACATTGGTAATTCTCTCCACCAAGCCAGAATTTATTAAACAGTTTTTTTTTTAAAATGAAACTCAAGTCAGTAACTCAAACAGCAATTTTTAAATTGAAAAATAATCCAAGGATACATTAACTTGTTATTGATATGCTGTAGAATGACGGTGGAAAAACATCTGAAGCCTTTATTTTTAATGGTAAACCAGTTTGTTTCTTTAAGGGCAGAGAAGTTTGTATGCACAATAGAAAGATCACACTTTTGGCTGGCGAGATGCTCAGCAGTTAAGAGCTCTTACAGAGGACCAGGGTTTAGTTTCCAGCAACCACATAGTAACTCACAACACCCTCTCTGATCTTTGTGGACATCAGGCACCTATGTAGTACATTGATTTACATACAGGCAATCATTTATACACATAAAATAATTAAAATTTAAAAATTAAGAAAGAAGCACTGTAGTTCATAACATACAGCAGTCTCAGCTCTGAACCAGGGTGTTTCTGCAGTGTTGTTGGCATTTTCTGTGAGATGGTGTACACAGTGCAGTAATTGTAGGCTGCGCACTCAGAACCAAGGCTGTAGTCAAGTCACAGAATGCAGCACCATCTAGGTTGCCAGAAACACTTCAGATCCATCATGGTCTATTTTTTTTTCCGTCCTTATGTTCAGGAACATTTTACTGCTATAAATCGTTTATCACCCTTTTGTTCAGTTTTTGGAACCCCAGATAGAGTCGTGATCCACACTTGAAGAGGTTTTGGTCTAGGGCTAGAGAGCTATTTCAGTGCTAAGATCATTGGCTGATCTCACAGAGGACTTCCCAGCATCCACATGGCAGCTCATACCATTTGTAACTCCAGCTCTAGGATATCTGATGTCCTCTTTTGATATCTCTAGATAGTGTGTGTGCACACACACATGCACACACATACACAGAGACATTAGACTCATATACATAAAAATATGTATTTTTATTTTTTGGTTTTTCGAGACAAGGTTTCTCTGTAGCTTTGGTGAAAATATGTATTTTTAAAAGACTGCTTTGGTATGTAATATAGCCTGACTATGTTGTTTCAGGGCATGGTTCAAGTCCTATTATAAGGGCTGTTGTTAGTTCTTTTCTCTGTCATTTTCCCATTAAGTATTAAGTCTGCCTTCATGTTAGTGCTTTCTGAAGTTTTTCTTGGAGGGAAGATCGCTTTCATTCGATAGTAAATTCCAAAAAGCTGCCTTTTGGGTGGCCTTCCATAGGGTTTGTGAAGAATTGATTTTTTTGTAATGTTTTTTCTGAGCTTGTAAAGCTAATGTTTCTACCAGTTTCAGGGTAATTATGATCATTACCATTTATGTTTATACCACATCCTGGCATGTTATCTGGTGTTGGTATTGAACCAAAGCCTTATGCATACTAAGAAAATATTCTATCATTTTATTGTGCCTTCAGCTCTTACCTTCCATTTTATAGATGAAAAAACCAATACTCATTTTTGTAGTGATATTTTGTTTATGTTTTAACAAATAAAATTTGCCTGAAGATCAGAGTGCAGAGCTAAGCCACTAGAGGCCAGGGAGTGGTAGGCATACACCTTTAATCCCAGAATTTGGGAGTCAGTGGCAGAGGGCTCTCTGGTAGTTCAAGGTCACCCTGGGCTGCGTAAGATTGAATTTGTCTAAAAGGGAAATGTAGCTCACACAGAGGGATCCCACACCTTTAATCCCAGCACTAGGGAGGTAGAGACAGAAGTGATATGGCTGGGGAGAGAGAGGAATTCAAGGTTGGAAGGGACAAAAGCTCAGTAAAGTCTGAGGACAGGATCACTCCTTTGGTCTGAGCATTGGTAGAGATAAAAGGTCCCTCTAGTGGCTTAGCTCTGCACTGTAATCTTCAGGCAAGCTTTATTTGTTAAAATATAAACAAAATATCACTACACATTTCCTCTTGTTTATATGTGGCAAGTCATTCAGCTAATTTATATCCCAGGGTACCTAATGTCTCAGCATTCCCTTTTTCTCTCTGCCATTTTTCTTTGTGTCTTTCTATATAAACACCTTTAACAGAAATTAGGTAATGAAATGATTGATACAATACATTTTTATGGAGTTTTACAGGGATGGTCTGGAACTCACTATCCTTATGCCTCAGCCTCTTGAGTGCTGGCATCATAGGCATGTACCTCCAAGTCCAACTAAACTGCACTTTTAATTGAGCTTTGCTGAAGTATTCTCTCACAATGGATGCTAGTGTGTTGAAAAGTAATTGAGACTAAACTCTGGGATCAGATAGATTGTGGTTCACAAACCAACACTGTCAACTCAGACCTGCAGCGTGCCCCCCCCCCCCTCGAGAATGAAGATGAGCAAGAGCAAGAGCCTAGCTACACACTGAAAGGAATACCTGCAGAGTGAGATGCCCGTAGAGATGATCTAGAAGATACACAGACTACTCACTCGCTCATCTCTAGCTGACTGTGAGGTCTCTCACAAGCCAGAATGAAGACTAACATACAGATTGCTTGGTTGTTGAAGCATTTGCCTAATCACCTGAGCCTCTTGGCACCAGATATTTGAACCTCTGGCCAGTCTTTTAGCTGGCCACTGAGCTGGGATTCACACCCTGAGGATATGAGCTTTAGAGAATTGGTCTACAGCAGCGATTAGATAACTGACTGCAGCAGTGACCACCAGTGAGCAGCAACTGCAGCACACTGGGCAGGGCGAGCGCCTTATTCCCAGAGTTTCCACATTGTGGTGTCTACATGTGCACAGAAAAAGAAATTCAAGATACACAAAGAGCAAGACATGGCCCTTACTTGGAAAAACAACCAAAAGCTGTTGACAAGGAAACCCAGATGCTAGACAATTTTTGTTTGCTTTTTGAAACAGGGTTTCTCTGTGTAGCCACGACTGTTCTGGAACTAGCCAAAATGTTAAATCAGGTTTTAAAACTGTATGACAATGTTCTTGGTCATGTTCTAGACCAACACGTCTATGTGTGTGGAGACTGTTGGCTCTCTGTGGGAACATTGCAAAAGAAATTGTGTTTTTAGCCCCTGAGAACACTCAGGTGAACGCTGTAACCAAGGGAGGCTATTTGTGTCATTTTCTCTGCAGATTCATTTTCACTTTTAGGAAGTGACACTTGTCCCTGACAGTTTACTACAGAGATGCTTATAACAGAAAAGATTCACAAAAACAGCTGCCCACCTACAGAGAATCGATATGTAGTCTTAGACTGCAAGACTATCTAGTTGTGTAAAACTCTCTCAAGGAGAGTTTTAAGAACTAAGCATCAGAAGGAAGTTTTTATTTTGGTTACAAAAGTCCCTCAACTGTATCAGTTACTTTTTTGTTACCTTTATAAAAGACCTGGCCAATTGTATCTAGGAAGGACTGTATCTCTGAGGCAGGCCTTGAAATGGTGTATCTGAGGCCAGCCTTGAACTCCTGATTTTCTTTTTCCATCTCTGTGTGCTGAGAGTACATGAACCACCATGCCTGGTTTCTGTCATGCCTGAGTGCAA